TAGCTAGTCCATCCCCTCTCCGGTGATGAAGGGGCATATTGTAGTTAATACAGGTCTTCATGTACTTATCACTGCTAAGACTGGAAGAGGTTGTTCAGTTCATCTATCTGGCTTCTTGTGTAAGGAAGGCAGATTGACCGCATCATGCCAACAAACTTCGGCTTGGACCGCAACATGTTTTGCAGTAGTAGTAATGTCACTGAAATTACTAGAATAAGATACTGAAAGTTAGATCCTAAATCTAGGATCATTATAGGTGATGGAAATCAGTGTCAGACAAGAAGACTGAAATGCACCATCTGCAAGAATAACTATCTGATGGGATGCTGACATCTGCTCTAGCTTCAGTCGTCGTTGTGAACCACAGATTGCAGACTGCTCTGTCTAAGGATGTTACGTTCCTTCAGACCAGACTTGAGCTGGGCGTCTTTTGTGAGGTTTGGCTGTTGATACAGGTTCACAGGTAGAAAAGAAGAAAATGAGTCTGAGAGAGAATACCTGGGGCTGATGCTGTGGTATTAGGGACATCATGAGGGAACCATTTATCTTGAAATAATCAGCCAGGGACTATTCTGCATGAGTCACAGTTTGAAAGCTTCCATCTACTTCTGTTCAGAGAAGGATGAACAGGTTTCTGCAGACAGCCGTTTCAGCGCTGACAGGGCACACCCTGTCACTATTTTTGGAATATTTCCTCTGCGTACAGGCAAAGCAGTGCTCTCAGTTTGCATGTAACAGGCTCCAAGCCACTGAGTCAGCATCCCCACCAAACCTTTGGCCAAAGCTTTATTTTGAGTTCATGATCTTCATATTTGCACCGCTTCATTCAAGCTGGACTTCTTCCTGCCTTGGCTCTGTGTAAGGCAGAAGTGAAGAAGAGGAGATATGTGGCCTTCATCAGCCAAATGGCTGAAACTGTATGTGGAAGCCAGCAGTTCCTTGGCGTTTCACAGTGCAGGGGCACCTCCTCCTGCCAGGGCTGACTTTGCTTCTTCCCCACTCCAGCCACTGCCCACAATTCACCCCGTCCTGCAAAGTTATGCTAAAGGAGAAGGAAATGTGCCATTGTGAAACCTTTACCTACCATCCAGGGCAACCCAGATGGAGCCCAGCTGTTAGTCTTGCAGGCTAGGGTGCAAACTCAGGATTGCTCCCAAGAATAAGGTTAGCCTTATCCAAAGCTTCCCCTCCACAGGATATTACCCCTCTGGTGTTTCACTCAAGATCACGTTTGCAGTTCTCGCCACAAACTGTGCGTAACTAAAGGCTTGTCTTTGTGAGAAATTTAGAGGTGTGAATTCGCAATACTCGTCATTTTTCACGGTGAGGGTCTCAGGTGGTGGCGAGTGCAGTATGTCTGACTGTACTTTCAGGGGAGAGAAGTGAGTCCCACGCAAATGCCATTTAATATGACCTAAGGTTCCTACCAGAGGAGATGGTGCAAATTATCAGATGGGCTACAAATCCACACTGGCTTATTGCATGGTGACTTTCATGAGAATAACATGCTAAGTATATTTGTACTCTTCCTTTCTAGATCTAATAATGTTCTCTTTTCTTATTAGCCTCAGGCATGAATGTTTATTGGCTTATCACTAGGTTGAAGACTTAGAACTGGGAACAGCTACATATTGTCTCTTGAGATGTTGCCTTCAGATGTGTGGGAGTCTGTCACCTTTACATGGAAATACAAGTATGATACTTACATTCCCTGTGAGGAAACTGCGTAGTGTATTACAACGAACAGAAGAGTAAAAGAGAGAGCGAGCAACAGAAGCAAATGTATATGACTACAGCACTTTGTGGCTTTTGCAGTGGAAACAATACCACAGAGATGGCAGTGGCTGCAAAGAAACACCCCATTGTCATGGCTGCGTTCCGTCCTCTGCTCTACTGTGCATCAGAAGATGCAGATGTCTAGCAATGCAGTGGGCTAACCGGAGGCCAAGCATCCTCAGCCATGGGCTGACAGGCCTAACTGAAGACAGGTCCAGCACCACTGTACTGGGAGACATCTCCTTTTCTGTCGTGCCGTGGTTTTCTAGCTGGCTTGCGTTTAGCCCAGCAGCATTACTTCCTGTGTAACGGGTAGGAGAGAGGGTGTCTGCAGTGAGCAGAAGAGCATGAGGGCATGGTTATCTGCAGGCCTGGCAGACCTCGCCTCGTCCTGCCTGGCACAACCTGGGACAGCGTTTGGGCTGTGGCAGCACACAGCTGCGAGCAATAGCTCTCGCCATGCCTGTCCCACTCCTTGGGGAGTATCGCCGGTTGGTGCGGGGGGCTGCTCTGCCAGTGCTTCCTGCTGTAGCTGTTTTCAGGACGTGCATCCCACGCTGCATTGTTGAAGGTACATGCTGGCCTCCAGAGATCCTCTGTGGTAGTAGCCAAAGCTGCTGTGCTTTCCAGAGACACCCATTTGCCTTCAGACACCTTCTCCTTAATGCCTTCCCTTGGGGGGAAGCAGCGACATCAGTGCAGGCACTTCCAGTGCTTCCCTCCCAGTAACATCCAGAAAATCCCTTCCTTCTTCTAAAATGGTGATCAAAGCCCAGTCAGGACTGCAGCACGTTGTCTTGATCCTCAAGACAGGGAGTGTAAAGCCGCAAGGATATTGCCATTTCCCCACTTCTCATCTGGCAGGAAGGCTGAGGTTAGAGACACAGGGTGCTTTCTCCTTGTCCAGCTGGGTCTGATGGTGCAGGAGGTTTCCGAAGCTGGTTAGAAAAGGTGCTGCTCAGTGGGATGGACCATGCACATGCCAGGATCTCATGGGGAATCCTTGATGCAGGTGTGCGCCTTTGCTGGCTCGGCTGTGCTTTTGTTAGAACTCAGAAATACCAAGGCCTGGTGTCACTTCTGTGATGCACAGTGGACAGGGAACATCAGCTACTGAGCCCTCACCACCTCTCTTGAGTGCCTCCTTACTGCTCGCAGCAAACACATTTTTGAACAGACCTCTAATATCCTTTAGGATTGGTTTTTTGCTCCTGTCCACCTGTTGCTCTACCAGGAAAAAGGATGCCACGTTTCATGTGCTATAACTGGTCTGCTGGAGCATAGGGGCTTCCAGTCTGAGTCATTTCAGCTGTGATTTTACAAGAGCGTGGGCATCTGGGCACGACAAACTTGATTAACTGGAAAGTAGTGGCCTTCCTTATGAATACAGGGCATCCTTTTAAGCCTTGTTCTGCTGCTGTGGAGCTTCACCTCTCTTCTCTCCCTCACTCCTTCCCAAGGGCCTCCATCCGCTCTGTTTTATGGACCCTGCGGGGAAAAAAAAGCAGGAGAGATCGGGGTTGCTGCCTTTGCCCAAAGTCCTGTAGGTGCTCAGGGTGGAAGCAGGCATGTCCAAGCATGCAGACCTTGTCCATGCCAGCGTGGCTGGGGAGAGAGGTCCCCACAGCCCCCCAGGGCCAGCGCTGCCGGCATAGTCTGCTTGGCTGGGGAGATGCCTGGGCACGACAGCCCCTGCCCTCTGCTTGTTTTTCTCCACAGAGGGTAGAGGTCAGGCACAGAAATGTCATCTTGCTGCTGTTGCTTCCTCTCTCCTTTTGCGTGTGCCTCCCTTGTGCGTTCTTTGTAAGGAAACAATAACAAAAGAAGGAAGAAAAGGCAGGTTTTTCCGCAATGTGGAGAGGCAGCAATACTGTGACCTTAGTGTGTTTTACCTCAAGTAAGTTTTTCCCTTTCGTGCAAAAAGGGGGTATTTTTTACCAGCGTTAGTACCAGTTAAAAGATGACGAAGCCGGAGAAGGGGAGGTGTCTTACAAGACCTTCCTATAACTTCAAGGAAGAAGAATGACATGAATGAATGAGAAAGATTTATCTAATATTGTACATCTCCTGTGCCACAGCTTTTCTTCTGTCTTCTTTCTTGGTCTGCATCTGCGGTAAAAAGCTGGAAGATTTCAGTGGCCACTGTAGCAGAGGGATTGTGCTGGGGATGATGTGATTCAAAATCCTCACCACCCCATCTGTTTCATATTGGAATCGGGAATAAAGATTTCGTTAGCTTCTCACATGTTTTTTGGACCTAACTCCCATGCCTCCTCCCAGCTTCTTTCCTCGCCATCTTTCCCACGCCAGCCAGCTTCAGGGCTGGTTTCTGGCTAGACCCTAAGCCAGTGTTTTCATCCCCTTCCATGCTCATCCCTCTTTCGCAGCTTGCTCAAATGGCCAGCGGTGCCTGCAGGACACCTTTGCGTGGCACTGACCAGCCCCACATAGATCAGACGTTGACAGCGAAGCTGATCCTGACAGTTTCCAGGGGAAGCGTGTCTCCCTTCTACGCCGTTGTCCAACAGCCGTCAACTACCTGCTACCTGCTGGGCATCCTGGGCTTGCTGTCCCCTTGCTGCTGCTGAGGCTATGGGGGAGCAGAAGGATTCCCATCACCCCCCCGCCCCAAAAACCTCATCTGTTCTGCTAGGATGGTGGTGCAGATGCTGGAGTTGATTGAACTCTTCGGGTGAATGTTGAAGAGGATGAGGGCCCCGGGTGGTCCTCCAGCTGGGTAGACAGACCTCAGGGGCAT